GGGGGAGGACTAGCCCTCCAGGAATCTTTCCGAAAGACCACTCGAGGGGCCCAACCAGAGGCGGTGCTTCCCACCGCCATCCCCTTCTCCGGCCCCGCCTCTCTTCTCTCTTCCTTCCCCCTGCCCTCCCCTACTCCTTTGCTCACCCGGCTGCCACGTTCTGGGCTTACATAATCCGAGGAGAGGAGCGGGAGCCGATACCCAGCGGGCTGGGGCCGTGGGTGGAGGGGCCGAGGCCTGATGCGCGCGCGTCCGGCCCTCCCTGCTGCCTTCCCCACCGCCACCTCAGTGTCCTCCCAGGGGCCAGCAGCCCGGGGTCTCTTGCTGGCTGGTCGCCCCGGATCCCGGGATTCCAGAGAGCGGGCCCTTTCCCATTCCGGCTCCCCAGCCCCCTCTGATTCCCCCACACCAGATCGCCTCCCAGAAGGAAGGAAATGCGTCCACTGTGCTCCTCTGGGCAGTGTTTTGTCTTTGCAAGGAGCCCGCCAGGGAGATACTGCCATCCCCACCTAAGAAGCGATGCCCAGAGGTGGTCAGGAATCCTCTGGAGTGCGTGCCGCCCTGAGCAAATATTTTTTGCAGGGCCTCTATCTATATAAACACTTTGTATCACCCCCAAACCATTCTGGCGGCCCAGTCTCCCATGATCCCTCCCAAGAAATACCCCACTGTACCCCAGGAACTGACCCAGCACCAACGCAGAAGCGAGTCCTGGAGCGCCTCAAGGCATCTGCCCCAACCCAAGCATTCTGGGTAGAGAGTCCCCAGAACGGGAGTAACCGGGTCAGAGCCCGCGGGGCCTCACTTCTGCCTTGGAGCGTCCCGCCTGGGCAACACTGCTGGGTCCCAGGCACCAAAGGGAGATTAGAAAAACTCAAGGAAAGGCGCCAAAGCCAAGGGTTCCTGAGGCATGGGGCTGGCCAGATCAGGGGCAGAAAGACAGTACTATACGCTGAGGCTTCTTTGCCGTGAGAGGTCAACACAGGCTCCCATGGAGCTAGAAGTGGGTCTGAACAGGTCCTGAGGGCTGCTCCCTCTTCCTCCAAAACCCAATCTGGCCACTTCTCTGTCTCTGACCCCAACCTCACCCAAGTTTGATAGACGGGTGTGAGGGGCCACCCAGCTAGGACATCTCAGCCTTCTGAGGCTCCCACCCACAGTTAAATCGGGTCAAGTTCTGGGGCATCTGGGTGGTGCAGTGGGTGAAGCGTCAAACTGTTGGTTTGGCTTAGGTCATGACCTCATGGTTAGGGAGTTCGAGCCCCACCTAGGGATTGGTAGTGAATGCTTGGGATTCTCTCTCCCTCTCTCTGCCCCTCCCCCACTGTGTTCTCTCTCTCTCT